AAAAATAAATGCATAATCGCTTATTAGCATTTAAGTTATAACATGTCATATGCATCTGAAATTAGTTTGAAAGCAGATTTATCTTTTCTTTCTCAGGGACAATTTAAAAGTTGATTTATAGTGCTTGTTTAAAAAGTATTTGCACATTTATAAAAATGTGTGAATGGCTTTGCAATGGGATTACTCAAGCACACGTTTGTCACAATAGATACACTGTTTGAAATGAAGGTTGTGATGCTGTATGGTTGTGAAACTTAGTTAACAATGAACTTCACGTGTGTGAGCTTGAGAGGAACTGACTACACTTAAATCACCTTAAGACTAAAAATGGTTCATAATAAAGTTAGTTACTTTCAAGATGCATCTTGCTTTGATGTAATGTAATGACATTTGAAAGTGTGATTTTAGCGTCAAAGTGTCCAAATACTTTCTCGAGCCACTGTAGGCCTACGTGATGAAATGTGTGGTCTATTCATCGCCGCGTTTGTCTGTGGATGGATTGTGTGGTTAGTTTCCACAGGAAATGGCAGACAAGCTAAAGTTTCTCAGAAACACACTTGTAGGGGTTGCTTTCTTGTCGCTAACAGAGAATCATGTCCATATCCTGTGTGAGAGTGTGAATATACCTGCATGCCGGTCATGATTTGAACTATTTTTAAGCTTGAGGTTCAACTGCGCAATTTGAAGCTTGAATTCCTGTATGCATTATGTAGGTGACACTTGCGCAAAAAATGTGATTGCTGCCTGACCATGCAAACGTCGCTTTCAAAATACTGGTTGTTAGGGTTGTTCTAAGAGGTTGCTAGAACATTCCTTATTGGCACAGGTCAAAAAAGTATTTTGGGTTCTGGCTCCTGTCCCACCAGAGTAGGACTATATTGTATGAACCTGTATATATTACACGCACAGATCTCAGTAACCTATGTCTGTTATATTCTCCTCAACTGCACATTTTAAAGTACTTTCACAGCAACCACTAAATATAAAAATTTGTCTAATTTTATTATATTATTTAAAAAGATATATAAAGATATCTTAAAGATATATATATATAAAAAGAATAAAACGATGAGTTATTCAAATATTAAAATAAAATTCCAGCTACTTAAGTTATTTTCATATATGCCCATTTTAAAATCAAAATATGGTATAATTATGGTATAAGGTAACATTGACATAAAACAGTCAATTATTGCATTTTTATGATGAATTTATTTCATGTGGGTTGTAGAAAGATCTCGTGTTTGTTGCTGAAATGAGAAAGGGTGGGAAAGTGTAGAAGGAGGGGTGGAATAGAAAGGACCATGCAATTATGGAATTTCATCCCTCTTTCTCTCGGAAACTTAATCTTCCCCTGCCTTTGGGTAAAGCCGAAAGGCTCATTCAGGCAGGAATGTCAGGACGAGTTTTAGAATGTAGTGAGATTGCTGAGGCTGAGAGAGAGAGAGAGAGAGGAGAGAGAGAGAGAGAGAGAGAGAGAGAGAGAGAGAGAGAGAGAGAGAGAGAGAGAGAGAGAGAGAGAGAGAGAGAGAGAGAGAGAGAGCGAGAGAGAGAGAGAGAGAGAGAGAGAGAGAGAGAGAGAGAGAGAGAGAGAGAGAGAGAGAGAGAGTCCTTGCCGAATTTCCCGATGCAAGTTTACAATGGGGGAAGAAAATTCGAACTCGTAAAATTTTAGCACTCAATTTTTTTTAATGATTTTACTGCAAATGTCTAATTTTGTCTTTCATTTAACAAGACGGTCCAAAATATATTTAGTCAGACCATACACACGGAATTCCCAGCGTTGCCACAAGGGGCACTATAGCACACATTAGCATAAATTGTCTTCTTCTACAATCAATTTTTCTTTCAGATCAAAAACTCATGTCGAAAAAGTTTGAAGAGAACCGTAGCTGGTTAAAGACAAACAGTTAACATTTTAGCTTAAAAACACTTTTTGTGCACACTTGATGGTAACTTTAACCAAACCTTCTATCTTGAGAACACATGCAATGTCTGCATACTTGCGTAAAGTTTTTTTTTTTTCATGCTAAAGTTCAAATAAAGAACACAATTATTTAGTTGTGCACAAAGCCAGTGTTGTTTTTAATCAGAATGAAGTTGCAAAAATCAGAATCAAAATGCATACAGATTGTGACCATGAAGAAATCGGGACGCCTCTGACTGCCAGAGAAACAGATAAAAACTTCAGGATGGAACACAGACATGGGCTCTCTTGTTCCCTGCCCCCACCGAGCACCTCATCCTGCTCACTCTCTCGCTCTCTCTCTTTCTCTCGGCACATTGCTGTTTGATTGCTTAAGCCCGGTGGTCAGACAATGGGCGTATAAAGAATGGGCCGCTTCCTTCCTTCCTGTTGAGTATTCTGCCTTGATGAGCAGACTGAATAGATCTGGGCTTCAGAACGGGGCATGAGCGCCGGGACCCAGCTAAAACCAACAAAGAGACGCTCTGGGGGCTTTTCCAATTGCTCTGCTGCCTACTCTCGCTCTCTCTCTCTCTCGTTCTTTCTCTGCACAAATGCAATCTCTTTTTTAAATATTCTCTTGCTTAATAGGGGTTTCTCTCTGGAACTGAAAATTTTGTGGTGTTCAACGACAGAATAAACTTTTTAAACTTTACAAAAAAAAAATGTTTTTTCAGTTGTTTTTTTTAGGTGTCGTCGTCGCTAAAAGTGAATAAATTATGTTCCATATCACGCAATGTATTTTGACAGTCTGTTGACTGTAATTATGTATTGCACCTGAAAATAATTTACTCACCCTCATTGAAACATTGAAAATTATTTATGAATGTGGATTTGAGGTGCATGAAGATTATTCAGAAGCTTTCCTCAAGATAAGCTAGTTGCTTTTTTTTCATGAAACATGGGGTAAAATGAATAAATGAGACTGAACTATACCTTTAATCAGTATATTTGTCTTTTTAAAGTATCTATTATTTCAGTTTTTTACCTCAAGTACCTCAAACCCTTACGTTTTTTTCTTCATTTTCAAATAGTGCCTTTATTGTTTTGCAGAGTAAAATCTCAAACCCAACATTTAGTCCTGTGGTAACCAGTCAGGGCTATCTCTCTTTGCTTGTGTAGCTTGTCCTCATTGACATTGTTAAATTTAGAATGAGGATGGAAGTAATCAATACCCTTTCAAACCATACCAAACATCAATAGACGGGTACATAACGTCTTGAATGGAAAAAATGAAATAACTTCCCGTTGGCCTAATCCACTCCTTTTGACGATAACTAGATGTTCCGGCCTAGGCAAGCACTTAATACTAGTGTTAATTTTTTGGGACAAAGTAAGTTCCGTTCCGTCTGTTGTCTGTTTATTGAGGTCAACCCTCCCAGCCTTTATCTGACCCATTTCCCTGCTCAATGGAGAAATCTATATTTCTCCATTTCTCTTGAACTTGGCATGCAATTGCAGCTCTTTCAAAAGGGTGTCATTTTTCCCATCTATCCTTCTTTTGTGCTGCCTGCACCCATAACAACACATTTAGCGGCTGCTAAACACTCGCACGCAAAGTAGGAAACATGCGCGTGCGTGCTGGCACACACTCTCTCAAAGTCTGCCCTGTGAGAATACCAAGCAGGTAGTTGAAGAGGCTTAAGAGGCGGTGAAATAACTGAGGGCCATTGAAAAGATGGTGAATACACAAGGGTTCGAATGTGGGGGTAAACTGTTGGCCCATTGTCATTTAAAGTAATGTCTTTAACCCTTTGTGAGGCTTTCTTGAGCAAACCAACCCCCTGTCGCTGGCCTGCCATTCACAGCTTAAAACAATGGGTGGGAGGCAAGCCGGAAAACGACGCACTCGAGCGATCGGGACGGTTTTGTTTCTCCACCTTTTGCCGCGTAAATGGGGAAGGGGGCTCATCCTTAGCGAGGGGTGAAAGCTGGCTGCCTGTCACTCAAACCCTCGGCAAAATAACAAACATGCGCCAACACGCTGAACCGACAGTGCGAATGCCAGTAGTGCATATCATGTCACAGGGAAGAAAATGGGGAAACGGCAGTCTTTTATTAGCGGCAGCGTAAGCGCGTGCTAGCGTGTATGCATTGCAATATCGCAATATATTACTTTAGCCTACTATTACATTTTTTTTTTGCAATCACCTTGGTTTCAAAATGGCTCCCAATTGATGGATCGTATCCAACCATATCTAATTGATGGATCCACCAAAAAATAGTTGTTGTAGACCAATCAATCTCTAAGGGATTTTGGTGCAAATTCATGTCACTTCATTTGGAATGTAAAATCTGGGTCCTAAAGTTGAGAAAGACTACTTTAAAATCATGTTTAGTTAAAGCAATTTTGCAATGCAATTTTTTTAGAAATCAAAATTCCCTTTCTGGGTTTCTTCATACAAAAAGGTTACACAACTGCATGTAGCGTAACTAGCATTGCATCCAAGAAGCAAGAACTTCCTCAAAAGCAGAATTGATAAAGCATCTTGCGTATACCATATCAAGTCTTAAAATTCCCACAGGGCAGTTTCCACAACACAAACGAGGATTGGCCGGAGCGTAGCAAACTACGGCTTGCCAACAGAAACAATCTCTGATCCTCCTGATGTCAACTAGTGGTTTGCATACTTCAATGATTAAACCAGTGCCAGATGTTTCCCATGGAAGTAAATTCAGCCAGTATCCGCTGCTGGCAGGGGAGGCTGGAAGTTACCCCTGAAGGTCTGGCCCAAGATCAGGGCTTCTTTGTCAGGAATCTGAGATCAGTTTGTTTGGGTGGTTCTAGAAAACAAAGCGTTTAGAGTTCCATGTATTGGTGTTAGTTAATTGGCAAATCAGAACTCGGTCTTAATTCAGCGTGACGATTTCATAATCAGCCAGATCAACACAAACTAATACAGTTCTGCAATTTCCAGTCAAGATTTTGACTCAAATGGTCATGGCCACTGTAAGATCAGTCAACACCATACAATACTCAAATGTTGCATTTATAGTGAGCTATATTAAACTTCATTTGATCTCTTTTGTGCAGGAAGATCTCATCGATAGAATCTCTCAGTAACGCACCTATTTTGCTGATCTGACAACGTACACTATCGCTTTCATCGCCTTATTTTCAGATGACCTCGAAACTTAAGCTCTGCGAACATCGCGGCTGTCATCATAAACGCAAAGTGAAATGCGACCCTGACAGAAGATCCATCGGGTAAACAAAGGCAATTGAAAACACTGTAGATTGCCTGAAATGGGCCTTTGTGCTCAAAGGCTAAAAACAAGGCCAACAGCAGGCCAGAAAGAACACAGAAAATGCATTGTTTAATTTCAAAACGTTAATATATTTTCTATTTTATAGTGAACATATGCATCTGACACCCTTGTCACCCTTTTTTTTTTTTTGCAGCAACAACAGAGGAGGATTTGTTTCTCAAAGTTGGGGTGATGCCTATAATGATGCCTCTCCAAATAAATATTACTTTATAAAATAATAAAACTTCAAATAAATATTTTTACACTAAACAATGTGTTGAAATTAGAAAATAAAGTTTTTCTTAGGGTCACTGTACAATTTACAAGTATAGTTGTAGGGATAATTCATGTAAGGTTCCTCTTCTATAAGGCAAAATATCAAAAGAGTGATTGACATACATTCGAAACGAATGTACAACACTATACAAGTTTTGTATATGCATCATATATATGGATCTGTCAAGGTGCCTCTGGTTTGGCACAATGTGTTTCACAGTTGAAATATTATATGTACAAAAATAAAATCTCTCAGAAAAAGAGCTCATTTGCTAATTTACATACTTTGCAGATACTATTCACAAACAGTTAGTTAGGAGAGTCTGTCACCTTTATCAGTCATATTACTGAATGTCAATAAGGCTAACATTCTGGACTTCAGTTTAAAATGAAAAGGAAAGGGAAGGTTGTTGAGACAAACGTTAATCCCCCCTTAAAGAGTCAGAGAGAGAGAGAAAGTGAGAAAAGCAAACAACAAACAAACAAACATAGAAACAAGCAAACCACTTCAAACCAGTTTTTGCCAATCCAATGTCACCTCTTGGTCTACAGTGCCAAAACTACAACAATTTGCGAAAATTGTTCCACTGCTCTGGAGATAGTCCCAGATAAGGTTATCTTCCCAGGGCTACTCCAGGAAACGAGCCCCGTCAACTCCTTTGTTCTTGCAGCGGCATCCTGGCCGACTGGTGCAGTCGTAGCACGCCTGGCACAATGCCACGCAGCCCTTCGCCGGGAGGTAGCAAAGCAGGCAGGGCAGGAAAATCGCCAGGACGCTTATGGCCGACCACCGCATGCAGCAATGCGACTGGCTGCAAGAGAACGGCTTGTCCGCGCACACATCCTCGTCGTCGCTGGAGCAGTGGTAGAAGAGACCTTTGACGCAGCAGACGCAGGTGACATAGTCCATTGCCGTCGTCGCCGAGCAAAGGCACCTGCGCCCACACATCCAACAGGAGGGCAGGGTCCGAGGGCAGGTGCATCCCTTGCACTTGCACCGGCCACAGTCCTCGCAGCGATTCAAGTGCTTTCCGTCGGCGGCCTGGCCTCCGGCCGGCACGAAGGGTTTCAGTTCGTCCTGCTTCGGCTCTGGCCGTTTGGGCTGCACTCTCACCACCCGATCGCCCATCCCGCCTGCGTTTCCCAAAAGTCTTTGCTCCGATGAAGTGCTGCCTGTGCTGGCCCTGGCGGTACTGTGCGAGCCATCGCTGGGTCCACTGGTGGATCTGCTCAGGTCGCTCCTCGGTGACTGGGGGGCTTGTTGAGGAGACTGCTGTCCAGTTCGCTGGGCTCTTGGGGAGTTTCTGTGCTCAGAGAGCTCAACGGAGGTGCTGGAATTCAGGCTGGAAGGTTGCGAGTCCACTTTCTGCTGGGAGGCCGGTGGCCGGGGCGCCACCGTCGGGCCCTCCGTGTACTCATTGCTGCTGCGGATGGTCCTGATCTGGTCCAGGGAGAGCACCTGAGCATCCCAAGGCTCCGAGTCCCCAGTTTGGGGTCTGCCACTGTCACGCAAAGCTCGCAGCAAGCCAGAGGAGCCGCTGCCGCCGCCATTTTGAGCTCTCGTGTCCATCTTTACTCTGAAGTGGGAACCCTCCGGCTGGCATTGAACACATCTGAAGTCCTATGGGAAAGGCAGACAGTTAAATGAGAGCATACAGGGAAGTAAAATCCCATAAACTAACCATATGTAAATCATATGAACTAGGCAAAAAGAAAAGGCAGATGGCAAGCTCCTTCATGCAAATCTCCCAACTACACCCCACCTCTACACCCCTGGAAGGCTGGCCATCAATGGGACAGGCCTTTACCACCTGCAGCTATCAAGTTCATATAGAGCATCTAGTAGACTTAATACCATCGTTGCTCTGCAATGTCTCAGGTGATGCATTTTACCTGATCAAAAAATAAAAAAGGATTTCTTTGCATAGTCTTTGTAGCAGTTTGTCTTCTGCACAAGCATCTTCCTCATCTATCCTATCAGTGATGGAGAGATTGAGACTATTCTTAAATACTCTATAAATGACAGCCTTTTTCTTAACTTATCTGCACATTTATACAAAATCTCAGGGATTTTTTTCCTTGCCGTGATCGCCTTTGGCTTGCATTTGTAAGGCACTATGTTTACTGTGAAAAGTGCTATACAAGTAACTAAACTGAATAATTATTTTACAAACACCAATATCACTATTCGTTTCTTGCAGAGCACATTAGAACTTGTTCGTAAAAGGTATTATAGGGGGAAAAAGCACACCGACTTCCCTTTGCTTTGTAATTATTTTAATCACAAGGAATCAAAATCATAAACAAATGCACTAGTTTAAAGAGACTAAGTTTTATACAACTTGCAGGGGGGAGGTAGGCCTATAACTGTTGGCCTTGTACTTGGATAATGTGGTGATAGTGTTTCGTTAGATATAAAAGTTTGCAATGGCCCAAATTCGTTTTCATATTGTTATTGTTAATGTAAAAATGAGGATAATATTAATTTCGAATCACCAATTTTTATTTTAATATCTAGTAGTCAATAACGTGACGTCCACAAATGAATTATGACGCTGTCAATGGGGGGCGGAGCTCTTCACCAAGTAACTTACAGAAAAATAAAATATCCACATGTTGAGGAGGAAATAAATAAATAAATCATACATCTCAGTCGGGACCCTCGAGCACCAGTTGAGTTCAATCTAAATAACACTACCCCAAATTACCATATCAATGCACAATCTCCCTTTCCACAGAGAGGCCCCATCAGCAAAATGTCTGTTAAACATCTGTTTATCTCCTCAATGCTATTTAAACTTCTGATCTGGTTTATCAGCATGCATACTAACTTTATAACGATATTAACTGGGTTGGACCTTGCATTTAGTAGAGAAACTTTTTTTTCTTTGAAAATTTTCTTATTGAAAAGTTTAGTGGACCTTCACGCGACTTTTATTTATTTATTTATTTATTAAATACACATAGAAGTCTATAGAGGTAGATGTCATTTATCAACGCCAATTCTCAACTTTAAATGAGGCAAAGTGAATGTGTAAAGTTTATCATAATGCTTAGTGGGTCTTTGTATGGGCCGAAATAAACGTGCAGCTGTAAGTGACGTTTTTCAAAAGCGATTCGCAACTTTAGCTAAATGAAAAGTAAGCCAAAGTTGTTGTTTTTTACGCATGGAACAGAGCCGTATGGCAACTATTTGCACAGCTGCAAGAATGGCGCGGAGCACTGGAAAAAGTCACGAACTAATAGAAAAGGGCGATTAAATAAACCACACGCAAATAAATTCTACAAAACTAAAATCGAGACAAAATCCACTGCAAAAAGTTGATCTAGGTCACTTACCGTGATCTCACCACCTCAACCCCCTATTTGTGTTGTGAAGAGTATATCCTACTAGTAGGAATTTCTCTTTGGTTATTCCTCAGTTCATTGGGAGATTCATTCACAAAAATCCAGATGAACGCAAACACTTGCGCGTCCTAGTATTCGCGTATTTTTTTTTTCTCGCGCAACTCGCGCGAAACAATAACGTCAGAATTTTATTCCAAGCAGAACGTAATGTAGTTTAACTTGTGTTGTTAAACCGCGAATTATGCCAAAAACAAAATAAGTTCCAGAATCCAACAACATGAGCAGAGTTTATAGAAAAATAAGAATGAAAACGCTGAAGACTTTTTCAAGAAGAAGAGTTGCGGTTCCCAAGTTGAATGTTTGGCTGCATGGCACACACTGTGCTGCTTTCAAGTTTTTCAGCTCTTGTTTTTTTCTTCTTTCCGGAGAGGAGGTCGGGTTTATGCTGTAAATGGCGTCATGTGGAAGTGAAGGGGGTGAACAGAGTAGCTGTTGTCCCAGAGGATATATCGTATCCGGTCCCAGCTCATTGGCTCTACAGGACTCAACATTCACTCCCTATGTGTGTGTGTGTGTGTGTGTGTGTGTGTGTGTGTCAGAACATTAGCACACGGACGTCCGATTAATTTTAGCGACTCGGTTCACTCGAACGCTTTAGTTTAATCAAACAATTCAAAGAGCCGACACACCAATTCCATTGAGTTATTCTTCAAGGACGTCTTATTGTAACATTTATGTGAACTTTTTACAGTAAAATAGCTGTTTACGCCACATTTTACACTGTGCCCACTGTTGATCAATGACTTTCGGGTGAAGAGGTTTGGGTTGACTTTTTAAAAGAAGTTTCTGTCAGGTTCGTTTCATGAAATCTAAATTCTAGTTACACCGTAACGTCAACTGTATTAAAAGGGGTTTAAACAAATAAATATGATAAATTAAAGTGATAAAGACAACAGTAGCTTGTTACCGCCTCAGTCAAACTGCACTTGAAACACTTTTAATCAATTTTTTGTGGTCATTAAAACAAATTGAAAACAGATGAATCACATAAACAGTTTATGTAATGATAATAATAATACTACAATACAATCATCAATATTCATAATAATGAGAGGTATATGAATATGGGGTTCAAGCAAGGTTCAACCCTTACCTCTATTTATTGTCCCAACAACAGCTTTTAAGTAATATTATTCCAAATAATGTTAATTAATAGTTTATAATAACAGTTTTCGAGATTATCTCCCATTCCACTATTTTCGTCCTAAACAAAATCATCCCTTATAGAGTAGAGAGAACAGACTAATTCAAATTAATATATTCATTCATACTCAATCACTCACGGCCTTAACATTTTCACAGGAGAAATGATCTGTTGCTCAACTTACTATGCATGCACACATATATTTATAACTTTAACATTTTCTTCTCTTTTTGAAGACTTTTAACGGTACATTTTCAAGTGAAGCCTAATGAGTTGCAATGGGTTCAACTTTTCCTGTTCAAAACATATAACAGTGTAATTTTCTGCAGTGGTTCACTGCCACCATGCAGGAGATTTTTAGGCTTGCATTTTCTTACCTTTGAGCAATATTTCAGAGTGTGCATGCTTAGCATGATTCTAAGTTACATAAAGTGTGTTAAACTCTAAATAACCAAATGGTACTAGCACCATTTGAATGGTCCCCTTTAGACAATCTGTTGACAACAATAACACCTACATGTCAACTAATTCTCAATAGAGTATTAGTAAAGTATTAATAAACCGTCTGTTTAATATCTGCTAACACTTAATTTTGATGGTTTTCCAACAGACAATTTACTGACTTTACAAATATATAATAAATTGAACTTAATAGAAAAACATATCTTTGGGTCTA